CTGCATGGTGCCCAATGGGAGACTGGCTATGCTGAGTGTTTCCAAATGGGTTCTGTTCTTCCCCACAGCCTCTTGCAAGGGGTCAGTAGATTCTCTCCTTTGGGAGCTCAACTGTAGCAACTCCTACAGCCCAAGTCCTGACTCAACACTTTGAATGAAACCAAGGTTTAAGAACAGAGTAAATGGGGTTAATGTACAGCTTTGATTTTCTAACATACCAAGGCAGTTAGTCATAGGCTAGAGGACATGCATCCTGGGCCTATGATTTGTCACCCTGTATATCGGGCCAATTATACCCATCCATGCTGGGGGATGGGGGATGGGAGTTATCACAGGTTCTCTTGCAACCCTCTTAACCTGGTTGCTTTTTGGCTGGCTCATAGTAAACGTTCCTTGAGCTGCTTCTTCCCACTTGCTGGTGTTTCCTGTGGCCTGTCCCTCAACTCAGCTGAGTGGATTTCTCTGCCTCTCTGCTCCTCGATCTTTTTCTGGGCAGGCTGACTGGCTTGCTGCTTCTAAGGGTGACATGTCTAATACAGTTCACTAAGCCTTGCTTTTGTAATGTAGAGTTAGGATGAAGAATCTGTTATGGAGTGGACTAACTCCTCTGTCAAAACTATTTTGACTAAATCGTAGGTTTCTGTGATTCCAGCATCAAAACCACTGTAGGCAGCACTCTGCACCGGTGAAAGGACAGAGTCTCTTATAGAACTTGTAGAAAACTTCCCGTTTCAAAAGCTCTCTATAGGTGCTATGCCGAGAGCCACGTAAAGGGGCATCTCTACAATCTGTGCACCAGCTGCCATTGCAGGGAGAGATTCTGCTACTGCTGCCCCTTTGGGCAGACATGCTGGAAAAAACCCTAGGCCTGTGGAAGGGGTGCTCTTGACTAGAGCCCTGGTATTTGCTGTTGTCCTCAGGATCCATTCTTGCCCCCTGGACCTGGGGAGAGGAGGAGGGAACTCTGCATTAATGTGGTGGACCTCTCTGCAAGTAGAAAAGCACCAACTCTGAGGGCTGCTTCTAGTAGCAGGCTGTCTGGTATAGTGCACTAGGAGTGTGATGAGACAACCAGAGCAGCTGAATTCCATTCCAGCCCTACACTTCTGTGAGTTTCTGACCAGGATTTAGAGGTACAGTATTGGAGGGTGCTGGCCAACCCTAGTGTAGCTGAGGCAGCATTTAGTAACTGTTACTGAGTCACCAGTGCCCTATGCTGCCTTGTCTGCACTAAGATTAATTATCAAACCCCCATGAATCCTAGCACAGACCACACAAACTCTAGTCAATGCAGTGAGCTACTCTTGCTTCCGACTGATGATGCTAGCTTTCATTGCTCACTCTCTGAATTTTCTAGCAACCTTTTGCTTTTATTCCCCCTGTGTTGCCTTTTAGTCTTGGGAAGAGCTCCCCATAAACATCAGCAAAGTCATCTTGCTGCCAAGAGAGGTTTAAAGATAATGTGCCTGGAGGAAGCTTGGCAACATAAATAAGTGCAGTCTATCTGTGTCTTTTGCCTTGTGCTCCCACATCTCTTTCTGTATCAATCTAAATAACTGGGGGCAGGCTCTCGCTCTCTGCTTCTAGCACAGAGGAATCTTGGTCTGGGGCTAGGTCTCTTTCTCTTTCTCTTTCTCTCCATACGCTTCTAGCACAGAGGAATCCTGGGCTAGGGCTCTGAGGTCAGATGCTAACACTTTTATATTACCACATGCTAGCTAACACTTGTGAAAAATGTGTCCTTGTATTTTGTCCACACCCCATTTCAGTTTCACAACAAACATCCCAGCAGTGGGGACCACAGTCTTCATTGTTCTTATGCAGCAGTTTGACCAAGCTGAACACCCTCTTTCAATGACTTCCCCCTGGGCCTGCTGGGGTTAATTATAATGAAATTGTCCCATAGTAATGTAGTGAGCAGGCAGAATTAAAGACTAGAGGGGAACCTGGGGTTCAGGTTGTCCAGCTCAATATATTAATTGCATTTTGTCTGGCCTCCCCTGCACTCCTAAATTGTGCTAGCTAACCTCATGCCTTTAGTCTGGGCAAGTTCAAAGTGAATGAGGCTTGTGTGGGAAGAGAAGCACTTCTTGCTTCTTGGCTTTGGTAGACACCAGTAGAAAAAATTCTGACCCCTGTGTGAGGCTTTCCTAGGTTTGCTGGGATGGTTCTCTTAGTTTCTCTGGACAAGAGCCTGAGAGTTGGGGCTTAAGATGGCCGGGAACCTAGAGACACTGCAAAATGTCGGTTGCTGGAAGTTTTTTTTTTTAAACGATCATTACAGATACTGGTCTGGTTTAGACAGGGATGTTCCTGCCCTTGGGCATGGGTATGGATCAGGTAACCGACCTCCTGAGGGCTGTTCCAGCCCAATTCCTACCCCCCCTCCCCCCCAAAATGATTCTATTGAAAGTCTGTGGTAATGGAGTCATTGGTCTTCTTCCTTAACAGTTCAATAGATTTTTTTTTTTTTGTCTCCCCAGCTCTGTCTGCCCTGTGAACAAGCAGCCAGGCAAGGGGAGTGGTGTAGTCTTCCTGAGGAACTGTTCTCTTCCCTCTGAGTAAATGAGCAGCTCTGAGTGCTCTGTTATGTTCCTCCTAGCTTCTCCTCTGGCCCCCCCCTCCCCCCTTTTCCCCTCTTAATATTACTGATCAGGACCTCAAAGCTTTCTGGGCTTCTGAAAGAACCCTGCTTGCAGGTTTCTCAGTGCTGCGTGCACACAATTGGCTGAGGGCAGGATAGCGTAGGGTCTGGGACTTGCTCCCACGAACCCTTTCCTTGCATAAGCAGCCATTCAGCCTCCTGAATCCATGGTTGGCAGTCAGCATGAGTTTTTCTGCTGGTTGTGGGATGGGAAGGGTTACAGGAAGCTGACTGTGCTGGCCAGACATTCTGGTGTCTGGCTGCTGCTTGGATGAGCACTCCCCTGCTCCTAGGTGAGGAGCAGGAGGGAATGACAGTCCTCATATTCCCCTCTGTTTTCCTGCTGCTCTTGCCCTCCCAGCCCTTTCTCCTTATAAGGAGGCTTCTGCTCCAATTCCTTCTGGCTGCAGTCAAGTGGGGGGTGGGAAGGGGCAGTATCTAAACATGAAGGAGGCTGCCTGAAGGCTCATTTCCCAAGTGTGGTGTCCATGCCTTCCCCTGAGAGGACCAAGCACTTAAGACAGTGGTTCTCACCCTCCTTGAGATACCTCTTGGAAAATGCCAGCTCTTACAGTTTACACCTGTTTTGCTGTGTTTTCTCTTTTTTGTGGGGGGAGGGGGTGGGTTTTTTGATAACAGAAAAATTAAATGGAGCAATTATTCTGCTGCAGTGGATCTGGACCACAGTGGGTTAGAATGTTTTAGACACTGTTGGAAATCTGTATTGCAAATCCCTGGGTTTATCTTGTGAATTGTTTGCATGCCTAATAATGTTAGCATTGTGCAGTACCCCATGGCACCCTTGAAAGGACCTCAAGGCACATCGGGTGTTGTGGCAGCCTGGTTGAGAATCAGTGGGTTAGGAGGATCCAGGTTAAAGATAAGATAAGGCACTGTACGCTTAGGTGGCAAGAGCAGGCAAAGCCATCAATTGCACACTGGGGAATGGCCAGTTAATCCACCCAAAACAGGTTTAATGGAGATAATAACTCTTCAGTGCAGGACAGGCTTGTGCCAGTTCAGGGAATACTCCTAGGGTAGCCCATCAAGGCCATAGGTTGTTGCTTTACCAGGCTGTTAGTGCAGCTGTGTCTGTATGTGGGGTGGGGGAGGTCAATGTATTTTTGGTGCCTCTGGAAGCATCAGAGGGAAGTGGTTGTGTTTTTTTTTTTTCACAATTTCCCTGTAGGCTTCTAGAAGGTGTTAGTTAACCTAAATCCTCCTCTGTACACATGTGCATGTGTATTTCCCTGCCCCCTTGTCCCAGGTTTACATCTTTCTCTTTTTTTCACATGGGTTTACTTAAGGGGGTCCAAAGGGACTGTGTAGAAGTCCCATGATGCTCCTTAGGCATTTCTGAAAATTCTTCTCATGGTATTTCTAGGGCTGCTCCCCTGTGGTGCTACACTGCCAGCTGATCCTGGGATGCTAGGAAAAGCCCAGGCACTGACAGTTCCCTCCTCAAAAGGAGGATGGGTGGGATCTGGGTGTCTCCTGACCTAGGCTGGCACTTTCAATTGGAGTTCCTATTTGGAACTTCTACTCTATAAATGACCAGTCATGGAAGCTGCCTGCACCTGTGACCATCTCACTTTGTTGTGAAAATGGGGATCCTTTTCCTGCTGGCTGCAGGTGAAAGCCAGCAGAGCAGCTTCCATCAGGTGAGGACAAGTGGCTGGCTTAAGCATTTCCTTCCTTGCAGAAGGGGCTGAGTTCATGACTTGGTCTTCAGTCCCTGCAGAGGCTTGTTATGGCTCTAGGATGGTAGGGATGTGTACACATCTGTCCTGGTGTGGGTCAGGATTGTGCACAGATCCCTGACAGTTGCTAGGGACAAGGCTGTTAAGAAGAACTGGGTGGTAGCATGTCACTGTGTTTTAACAGTGTGCTGCTGGAACCCCTTTCAGAGGAGGGATGAGAGCCAACATAGTTTTTGTATAAAGCAATAAGGAATTCCAGGTATTTCCTACTGGGCAGTGGGTAGGGAGGAATGTTGACTTCAGTATAATGACCTTTAATCTGGATATGGTTGATATATTCTATCTTCCTCATTTCTCCTGCCGTGTAACGTAGTTATGATCTTTCTGAATTCTACCACAGAATGAATGGATGTCATTCATTGCAGAAATGCCTCACTTGTGGTTCACAAAAGCCCTCTTAAATGCCATGGCCCTACCATCATTTTTAGGGGTGCCTCTTTTGGGTGTCTCTTACATGGGCCTGTAAGCTGACTACAAAGGCTGTCCGCCAGTGCCTGGGAAAAATGGGTCTCACCGACGTTGGGTCTTGCCAAACAGGCCCCTATACCTGACTTTCACTACCTTGCTATTTGTTTCCCTTCTTCCCTTGTACCCAGATTCGCTACAAGGAGGAATTTGAGAAGAACAAGGGAAAGGGCTTCAGCGTGGTGGCTGATACCCCCGAGCTGCAGAGAATCAAGAAGACTCAGGATCAGATCAGCAACGTAAGTTGTTTTTAGTCATGGTAGATCGCATGGCTGTCAGTCCTCTGGGGTTGGGTGGGGGTTGGGCTACAGAATGGGGGACAGAAGAGCAAATCACTAATTGATACAAACCCATTAGCTGTCTTGGGGAGGGGGTGGCTGGGGACAGGACACACTTCACAAATTTTTGTTTATAAAACGTGGAGTGTTTTTCTTGAGGCCCTTCTGTTAATGTACATAATGATGGTTTAAATTTTTAGTTGTTCTGCTGTAGAAACAAATTCCCTAAACTTCATACTTTGTGGAGCTTCCTCATTTTCCCCCTAAACCTTAAAGAGGGGGAAGGGGTCCCATTATGGAGTACGGTACATGTCCTGCTGCTATCTGCTATTGTGCCCCCTGTCGGTAGCAAGCAGACTGCTGCTCCCTCCCATGGGAGTGCCAGAGCATAGAGTGACTGACTTCAGTTTACCATCTGTGTGTTCTCTGGTTCATATTTCTTCATGGACACTCCAGCCAAATGCACATCTCTTCCTCCTGCCTCTTGTCTCTTAAACAGCTGTGCAGTGTCCTCTGCCAGCTTTCTCTTGCCTTGACCCCGCCCCTTATTGTGTGAAGCGGGTTCCAGCTGTCAAGCTGTTTTTTGGAGGGTTTTGCTGCAGCTGCTGCTGGCGCTGTCGTTGCATGCGTGGGTAGAATAGACATGGCCTCCACAGCAGTCCCAGCACCTGCTGCCACCAGCCCCACTTGAGCAGGACAGGCTACATAATCTGATTTCCTGTCTATCATTGAAGCTGTGATCATGAGGCTGAAAGCTGGCCTTGCTGGAGGGATGTAAGCTGAGCTCCAATGTGTTGCCTTACCCCTGACCCAAGGGGACCTTTTTCTGGGGTCTAGCCTTGTGGGTCCTGGTCTCTGCCAACTTTCCCAAAAAGAAGTTTTGACCTTGGTGCTGGTAGCTATTGGTTTCTAGCACCTTTCCCTTTTAAGGACCCATGCTCAAGTTCTTTAATTCACCCCCAAACAGTGTTTTGGTGGCCACTACCTTCAACCACAGGGTTGTCCTGCAGGGCACCAGCTGTGACTCCTGTATCCACTTCACCTTAGCAATTGATGTGAAGAATAGAGACTACTAAGTGGCAGAGGCTCCCAGTTAATGCCTGCTGCCTCCATAACTAGCCCTAATGATAGTCTTGGATGGGTTTGGGAGAATATTAAACTAATAGTTTAGAGACTTCACTATTAAATCTGGGAATGGCAGGTGGCATTTAACACGGCAGTTCAAGTCTGTTGCAGAGAGTAAGCTGATGCCCTCTCTACCAGTTAGTGACAATGCAAAACAGTGATTCTCAACCTTTAGACTCAAGGCACTATCAGGGAAAATGCCAGCCCTTAGTGTTCACTTGTTTGTTTTGTTTTTTGTTTTTTTTTTTTTTTTTGCCTGAAGAAAAATAAGAGAGCAGATCTATTGCAGAGAACTCGGACCACATCTTTTCACACTAGATTTCTGTTTGAAATCTCTGGGTTTATCTTGTGAATCATATTTACATACCAAACAGTGCTAATGTTGTGTGGCATTCTGTGGCACCCTTAAGGATCTCAAGGCACCCCAGAGTGCTGCAGCAATCTGGTTGAGCATCATTGTTCTAAAAGCTCTGCCGCTGAAGGTTGCTGCCCTTTCTTCACATGGAGTGGTTGGGAGGAGGGTTGCTGCATGGCCTGTGTGCATGCATGCTGGGGTTGTTGCAGTAAGTATATTGGGTTTAGGGCGTTTTATGCTGCATTCTCTTATATCTGTGAGGACCTGTCCCCACTTTCAGGTTTTCTGGGGTTTGTGGTTGGGGAGGTGGCAGCAGCATTGGCTTCCTCCAGAACAAAAAGGGTTAACTAACCTTTTAGCTGCTGATGAATGTCATACTTGTGCTAGAATTCCCTTATCAGAGTCCCAGAGACTGTTGCAAACCCTGGCCTGGTCAAGGACAGGATCCAGAGTTCTGACTTCTGGCTGACCAGCAAAACCAGTTCCAAATGCTGCAGCTTTCCACGTGATCACTTTACTTTTTCCACTTGATAAGCTGCTGGCATTACTCACTTCCCCTTCTTCAAGACACTTGGGTTACAGGGTCAATGCCCTAGGGTCCCTTCATGTTGGGCTAGCCAGCACAGGGGGGCTGCAGAGCAGCTGTAATATTCCTAGAGTGCATTCCCCCATGATACCCAGGGTGCCCCTTGCCAGGTTGGCTCTATGCCTTTCTCCCCTATGGGGCTGGAGCATTCCAATGCCCTGACACTCCTTCAGCTGCCACAGTGCCCAGAGTGGTCATGGCAACAAGAATACAAGTTGGGGCAGACCACACAGCTGTCTTCACACATGGTCAGCTTTTGAATTATTTTTCCAGTAGCCCTGATGTAGAAGAGGTATAAACTCCCTTCAGCCTTTCTGTAGGGCTCTGTGCAGAGAGGTTCTGGCTCAGTGTTTAGGGGGACTATTTGGACTTCAGTCCAGGAAGCTGTGCCCTATCTCCCTTCCTTCCCACCCAACAGGAAGTTGAGGGCAGACTATTGCCCTTTTCAGTGTTTGGGCGCGGAGATCCTCCCGCTTTGACTATAGTGGCCAACTACAGTCTAGGCTGCTAGGGGCGGGTAGAGCCAGAGTGGTTTGGGGCATGGAGTATCCTTCTAGGCGCTGCCTGGTGTCTGCCCTTCCCTGAGTGGAGCAGGGCAGTGTACAAGACAATGCAGAGACCCTGCCAGGGTTCAGGCAGAGTGCAGGATCCCGATTTTGTTCGGCTGCTCTCTTCCCACAGGAGTTCAAACTACATTTGGCATAAGTTTAAGCAAATGCCCAACAGGCAGAGTTCCCATATTCCTCTTTCCTTCTGATCTCTTTGTGGATTCTCTTGCTGGGGACTGCAAGGACAGGGCCCATGCCTGAGTGACAGGAAGAAGCAAATGCTCCCCTGACTCCAATCCACATCCCTGCAATAGCCAGTGAGCAGGGAGACCTGGTGATCCTGGAAGGGTAAGAGGCAAGGTCTACTAAGGTAGGGGCCCATTTTATCTGTGGGACAAGGAGAGCCAGAAGCTCCTCTTCGGAGAGGGAAAGAAGCAGTGATGCCTTGCAGTTGTATATGTTGTTATGTGAAAATAGGCTCTGGTGCATGGAGAACTTGCAGCCAATTCACTTCCCCATGGGTTGTTTCAGTTGGCCATTAACTCACTGGCAGAGGAAATGTTGCTTTCTTCCCCCGAAGTACAGTCCCCTTTTGAAATTGCACCCCGCCCACCTGCCACATTGCCTGGGCCCATGTTGGGAGGGGGTGATGGGTGGTGCTTATAGTGCTATAGAAAACTCTCTCAGTTTTGAGGAAGACTGTATCAAGGTCAGTAGTTTCTGCACAGTACAGTGATGAGTGAAGAGCCACATAGAGGCAGGGAAGGAGCCTCCCAGCAGATAACTCCTGGGGGACGCCGTTCAATTGGCTGCCACTGGGACTCCCTGTTGCCCCTAAGTAAATCAAGCACCTTATGCTCTGGGTTTCTCTCTGATTTAGGACTGGGCTGAGCCCCAAACCTAAGGACCATCTGCACAACCTCCCCATTCACTCCTAAGTCTGGGAGCAGTTCAGAGCAGGAGCTCCCTATTATACAGTCTGGCTGTTTGTCCTGCCCTCCATAAAGATGACCTACTTTTATAAGAAAGCCCCCGCTCCAGACCAAGGGGCCTGACAGCACAGGCTCATGAGGGAAGCTGGGAGGGCATGGGATCAGTAGGACATTAATGTTCCTAGAGAAGGAGCAAGGCTGACAACTTCTCTTCTCGTCCCTCAGACTTCAAAGCTGCTGCAGGGCTTGACTACTGAAAGGTAAAGCTGAGGTTCTGGAAACCAATGGTAAAATAACACCCCTTTGATATGCCCTGTGAAAGGCACTTGTCCAGGTTTCTGCCGAGGGAACTGACCTACTGACTGAGCCAGGAACTAAAAACCAGTGTGGGTTGTGGCCAGTAGACTTCAGTGGCTTTTCGCAGGCAGAGCTGTCCCTGGTCAGGATTTCAGCAGATAGTAAGTCAAAGCAGGGTGCAACTCTTGCTTTGCTGTTATGGGGGAATTCCCTTCCCAGCAGCGAGGCTCTGCTCCAGGCTTTACTTCTTGCCCTTGCCTGTGCTGGCAGAGTTCCTGTTGCTCCCTTCAGTAAATAACTGTTTAACCAGCAAGTGAATGGGCTCCAGGTGTTGTCTGATTGGCTGTGTATTTGTTAACACAAGTGGTTATTAATTTTTACACCCACGCCCAGACGGTTGGAGTTAACCCTTCCCTTCTGAGCATAGGTCAGAGAATCAAATGAGAAACAGACTGCACTGGAGAGAGCTCTTTCTGTGCTAGATATCAAAGGCTGGAACTAGTCATGTGTGTCCTGGCAGCACCTCTTGGCTCCTTCCCTGATCCCACTTAGCCCAGTGAGCCAGAGGTTGGGACCCTTCAAACTTCTATTTAAAAGTGAGGTTTCTGGGACAGAAGGTTGGCTGAGAGATCTCGTTTCTGGGAGGCTGTAACAGATGTGATGAGGAGACACCAGACCATGAGTCTTGTGGGTGGGAGGGAGGGGAGGAAATAAGTCTTCAGAAACCCTTGAGGTACTTCTGACTGAGCATGGTGCCTCTGGAGTCTAAGTACTCTTAAATTGAGCATGATCACTACTAAAACTGCTCTCTGTTTCCCTTTTTATAGCAGGCTTAATACTTCCTGAGTTCAAAAAAAGAACCCCCCACCTTCTTTCCAGGTCTGTCCACTCAGTTTCTCCCTTCCTAGCTCTATATACAGCAAAAACACCCAACACGGGGAAAATAGCTTGCTCTGTTAGAGACTTGCTCCATGCTTCCTTTATGGGCCTAAGCACCTGTGCCACATTGAGGCACTTCTCAAAGCTGTTTAGCTTCCCCAGGGGCATAAAAGGTGGAGCTGGTGGTGTCCCAAAGGATGCATCAATCCTTGATGTGTGACACCTAAAATATAGGCAGCTTTCTGGAGCTCTGCTGATACCAATGCCAGTAGGTGGGCTAGTGTAGACATGACTCCACTGTGTAGGGCAGCCAGCAATCCCTTCTGTGGCCCTTGGGTCTGATGAAACTCTAGTTCTTGGAATGGAAAATAGAGTCCAAGACGGCTAAGGGGCTGTCTGGCAAGCAGCAGCCTAAGTAGAGAATCTTTTTTGCTTTCAGTTGCAGCCAAGACCTACTTCTTCTCTGCCATGAAGGACGCCTGTCTATTTGTAACACTCATACCGTGGGCCCTAAGGCCCACTGGCTAATTAGTAACCCTGTGTGGGGCTAATGAGTGTGGTACAACTAAATTCTTGGGGCAGCTAATGAAAAAAACAGGATAGGAATGTTGTTTGGGTCAAAACATGAAAATAAGTGCGCCCAAGGGGGACACTGAGCAAAGCCCCCTGGGTGGTCCTCAAAGGCATCCAAGGAACTGGTGAGACACTGCACACTGGTGCTCTGCCCAGAAATGTGAACGGACAAGTGAGAGGCAAGTGGCCCCCACAGTCTCCAGGCCAGAGCCTCCTTCCTGGTCAAATAGGGAGCCCACTTGGCCAGGGCCAGGAGGAGGTTGACCAGGAGGTCCCAGGATTTGGTGGAGCCACAGATGGGGTGACCAGAAACAAAAAGGTGCGGGTGCGGGGGGGGGTGAAATTCAAGCAGAACCTCAGGAGGAGGTTCTGGAGGTGGAGGGGCTATGCTATGAAGGACACCTGGAAGAGGGAAGAAAGGAGTAACATATCATTATCTTAATAGGCACAGGGGAAGCTGTTGCCACTAGAAAATGCAACATCTCCTTGTTCCATGTTTTTTCCCCAATCTCTCTGGCTTTACTGCCACTTCAGGGCTCTATTTAGAAGGGTTTCCCTTCCTTGAACTTCCTTGGAGATTTCCTTGTAGCCAGACACTACCTCATTGACCGGCTCTCCTGGGTTTGCTCTGGTTTTGTAGAATGTTCTTGCAGCTCCACTTTGTGTCTGTCTCTGGTGACAAAGATCTGGATCAGAGGACTTCAGTGTTTTGTCTTAATGAGCCAGAGTTGTCTCTTGGGAGCCTTCTGGGGCTCTGAAGGGAGATGGGTTTGGGTTTTCATGTAGTTCCATAGCAGAACCAAACATACAGCTAGGCTCCCTTCAGGGGACGCTGAGACTGGAACAACAAGGGTGGGCATTAGCACTAAAATGTGTGGGATTAAAAAAAAATAAGGGGGGCTGTGTATGCCTGGTTCATGCTTTAAGCCCTTTGGCATTTTGCCTAGAATATATAGGGCAGAGGCTGTGGTCCTTGCTTCTGTCTCTGGCAAATAGTGCCTGTGAGGTGGCAAAAGGCACCAGTCCTTACACTTAAGAGGTTTCCTGAGTTATATTCAGCATAGTGAATGATAATCCTGCCTGTCCAGCTAAAATTGTCTCCCACCATATGCCCATCCCTGGCTCTGGTTACCATACAGGCATAGAGAGTGGGAGCCTTTGTCTTAATTGGCTATTGTAGCTTTCTCCTCTCTGATCTGTGCTGTGCTAGGTCTGCAGACTCATGGCTAGACCATCAGTCCCTTCTCTTTTAATACCCTCTTCTGGCTGCAGCAGAGCTGGCATGGAGGCCAAAATCAAGGGAGCTAAACTGAGGTAGTGGGGCATGATGGTTCCAACCTGCAACTGTCCCTGGTAGGGGTTCCCTTCCTGCACCCTCATTCTGCCTCGCTTTGTCTGTGCCTGAGTGTTTTGGCCAAGTCACAGCCCACTATGTTTCTGGACTCTGCTCCCCCTTGGCTTATTGTGCTCCTGGGCTCCAATTAGATGCTTGGGAGTGCTCCCAGCTGAAGTAATTTGAGGCCAAGCTACTGTGCTTCAGAGGTCAGAGCCAGGAGCACAGGATCTTTGCAGAGTGGCTGAAAGAGAAAAGAAACCAACAGTGCTTGAGGGTCAGATCAGCCTTGGTACTATTGCAAGCAGGGTTGAGCTCTGTTTCCCTGACCAGTATTGCAGCACCTCAGGTACATCCTTAGTTTATGATGCAGCTCAGCTCACATTAATGCTGGAGGAACCCCTACGCATGTCCACAGAGGAAGCAGTTCTGCACCCCGATTAGCTGGTTCTAATCCTGTTTTGATCACAGAAAAATGTGGATTTGGGGTTACTTCTAACCGAAAATTGGGGGTTTTATTTTCTTTAAACCGGAGAAAACCAGTTTCTCTGGTGATCAGGCCAAGCATTATTAGTTAAAGTATCTCCAGCCCAGTTAGGATGGGAACAGTGTGGACTCTGACTGGAGGTGGGGAAGGGGGCAAGGACATGTGGTGGTATGTGAGGAGTTGTGTAGTGGACTCGCTGTGTGATTGGAAAGAGGGCTGGGCTGGGCTTCGTGGCATGTTTTCTACTTTGGTTACCAGGAGGGTGTGATTGCAAGGAAGGTTGCCAATGCTGTGGCAGCACATAACCTACCACGTGGATACAGGTAGTTGCAGTATGTAGCACAGGAGTGCCCAGGGTGTATTGTAACAAGACCAAAGCATCCCTGCCAAATCCTGGTTGCCAGGCTCTTCATGGGTGGGAGTTGCAAGTGCCTGTTTGCAGGTTGCAGTACCCTGCCAGAACAGGACATCTCACTGTAAGCTGCAAGGCCCCCTGTCTGGAAAAACTGAAGCAAGTTCTCAACTGCTCCTGAATGCTGTTCCATTCTTGACTGTGTAAACTGCTCAAGACAGGGGCTGTCTCTGCTGTTTCTGCAACATCAAGCACCACAGCCTTGTGTGCATTTACAGCTGCAACTCAGATGATGGATGAAATGGGCAGAAGTGACCCAGATTTCCCCCCCACCCCCCCTGGACTGAGCAGGGCTTTGTATCTTCCTCCAGAGAGCTTGCAGCCCAGATGTTTCTGCAAATGGGCTCCTGGGGAGACTTTTTGGCATACCTAGCACTGTCTATTTCAGTGTACTGTAGACATTGAGCCCTGTGGGTGCTGGGTGCTCTACAGACTTGGGGCAAAGATGGTTTCTGTTGCTAGAAAGCCTGCACTTGCTGGGGAGTGGCATGTGGAAACACTAGGGGAAGGCAAGGGAAGAGAGGGATGGTACCAGATACTGGGAAGCAGTCTTGGCTATCTGTAGTGTAGAATAACAGGGCCACAAATTGTCCCTCTGCTGAGAGGCCAAAAGCAAGGAGCAGATTCTGGACAATAACAGGAAAGGGAGCCTGGTTATAGGTCAGAGTCTGTATCTGTCTCCACCAGTCCAGACCAAGTGCATGTGGGAAGGAAGGTTCCCTTAGCCCCAAACAAACACCGCTGCAAACCCTGCAACTGCCTGGTCCTGATGCCTTTCCAACTGGAACTGCTGAGAGTCTCTGGCACCCTCTTCTGGAGAGCAGTGTGAACAGCAATTGCTTTAATTTCTGTGGCTATCCCAGAGGTGCCCTTAGCTTGTGTAGGTATTGCAGGCCTCCACCTCTGGGACGTGGTAGGGGTCTAATGTCCTAAAGGGGCACAGCATTAACATGCCAAGATGTGAGGGGTAGCCAGTTGAACTTGCACAAGAAGTGTTAGGGCACAGCCTGGATGTCATGGCTGTGCTTCAACAGCCTGTTTGGTGGGAAGAGTCACGGGCTCTTCCATGACCCCCCAAAGTGTGCTCTCTAGTTGCATGGACCTAGGTCAGACCCTGGGATGACTGTCTCTGCAAGGCTTGATCCAAGTGAGGCAGCACCTAAGGCAGTTTCCTGCTAGAGATGTCTGCATCTCCAGTGGCTGCAGCAACGCATGCCGTGCTTCTTGGGGGGAACAGGGTCTGTGCTAGCAGGTTAAACGTACTCTGTAGCCCAGCTGTCTCAAGCCTGGGGAATGAACCAGCAGGCAGCATCCTAATTGCTGCCTCTTTTCCTCTTGTAGATAAAGTATCATGAGGAGTTTGAGAAGAGCAGGATGGGTTCCAGCTCCGGTGAGGGTGGAGAGATGGAGCGCAGGAACTCGCAGGATGGCGCCAACTACAGAAGACCCACAGAACAGCAGCAACACCACCAGCAACCTCATCACATCCAGCCCAGCAACCCTGGTAACAAGCTATAATCATCGGTGGGGGGGGTTGTCTGGGAAAGCCCTACTTGTCCAAGGTGTAGTCTGTCATCTACGCTGCCTTCCCCCATCTGATATTGGGATCTTGGAGAGGCCAGGCTCTGTCATCAGACCACAGAAGAGTTATTAGTAGTTTGGGGTGCACTGACTTCCATAGCTTTTCTCTAGCTCCTTTCCTTCCATGTTGAGGCCCAGACAAACAATTTGTGGTTCTTCCTTACAGAAGGGAAGGCCCTTTCATAGTTAGGCTGTCCCTCTGACAGATGCAGAGCTCAGTGTCTCCATCCTTTTGCACACAGCAGCACTTTGTGGCTAATGGGCACTGTCTTTCCTTTTACAGCCTACCAGCAGCAGCAACAGCCTCCATTTCATTCCTATGGCTACAAGGAGCCCGCTGCTCCAGTTTCTATACAGCGTAGTGTCCCTTCCGGAGGAGGGGTGAGTATTGCCTGGAGGATAACAGTGATACTGAACAGGCCTAGCTATGATGCCAGGTGCCCAGTCCTTAGTCATAGCAGATGGTGTAGATCAGGGTTTGCTCCAGTCAGATACCCTCTTCCAGCTGCTGCAAACTCTCCTGCATTGACGGGGAAGAATTTGGATTCCCTCGGCTCTCCTGCTCCCTTGATGCTGTGGTGAAGATGATGGCAAGTCTCCTATGCTCTTGCTGCCTTGTTACCAAGGTTATGCCCCTGAGCTCTGCTCACTGCATTGCTGTGCTTAACCTGGGCCCTACACTGCTGCTTACTGACTAGGGGAAGTGTTTCCAGGTCTTTAGTGACCCTTGCACAGCCAACTTTTCCCTCCTTGCCTCCCTCCTCTTCCCTTGATTGCAGGCTCTTCTCTTCTGTACAGTGTGTGGCTGCTCTGGGGATGAGACACTTTTGGTTTGTTTGTTTGTTTTTTGTGTGTGGGGGTGGGGGTGCCTCTCATGGGCTGGGTAGGGGTAGAGCAGTGGTTCTCGCCCTCAATAGACTCAAGGCACCCCTCAGAAAATGCTGGCTCTTCATTTTTCATTTGTTTGACTATGGAAAAAATAATAGAGCAATTCTTCTGTTGCAAAGAACTTGGACCTCAAAGGGTCAGAACACTATGGATTCCCATTTAGGTTCTCTAACTTTACCTTGTGACTCATGTAGGTGTTTGCAAATCTAACAGTGCTAATGTGTCATGGGGTGCCAGGCAACCCTTAAAATGATCTTGTAGCACCCCAGGGTGCTGCAGCACCTTGGTGGGAATAGCTGTGCTGGAGCTTCTGGTGTGTTGCTGACTCATTTCTCCCTACCCCGCAGAAGCGGTTCCGTGCTGTCTATGACTACAATGCAGCTGATGAAGATGAGGTCTCCTTCCAAGACGGCGACACCATCATCAATGTGCAGCAGATAGATGATGGCTGGATGTATGGCACCGTGGAGCGCACAGGGGACACCGGCATGCTCCCAGCCAACTATGTGGAGGCCATCTGAGCCTTGAGGAGAAGGGGGGACATGACCCAACACCCAAAGCACCCTGCTCACACTGGGGCCCCCCATTGCGTGTGCGTATCTCATCCAGCACCCTTCTGCCATTCCTCCACCAGAGCTGCATCCCTTTCATGTCCATACTTTTTGTTCTGAAACTCTGCAGCCATCTCCCGGTTTCTCTTGCCAGTGTAGCTTTGTTTCATAGATCCCATAGCTCTGTTGGGACTCTGCAGGAGATCTGTCTAGTGACCATACCATATGGCCCAGAAGCCCAAACCATTGCAGCTTTTCTTCCCCCTCCTACCTCCTCCTTGTAACTATCAAGGGGTTTAGGGCACCAGTTGGGGGCCCTGCCTCTCCAGGGGTGCTTTCTGACTGGTGGAAACAGGTTGAGTCACTGGGATCCTGAACATGGGGAGAATCCCAGCTGCCCTGCTCCCCCTCTGAACAGGAGCAAATCCATCCATCTCTACTAGGGACCAAGCCAAGCAGTTAGAGTAACAAGGGACCAATGACTGAGGGGTTGCTGTTTAGCAGCAGGGGTGAGGAGGGCTTGTGGCCTGCTTTCTGCCTGGTTAACTAGGGTTTCTGTTCTTTAGAGCCACAAGCATCTCCTGTCTGGAGCTGGTAACTCCCTGGCCTGTGCAGCTTTTGCTCTGGGCCATTTCCTAGTTTCCATATCTATCTCCTGTCCTCTGCAAAACATTTCCAGTGAGTTGTTCTCCCATCAGCCTTTCACCACTACAACTTTTAATGAAAAATTCTTTTCTTTTTTTTTTTTTTTTAATCTTTTCATGAGCCAAGTCAGTAGATCCAAAAGGTCCTTGAAGAGGCCTTGTGCTTAGTTCTGTCTTAAGTTTCTGGTTGATCATTGTTCTGTGCTGCCTGTCCTCCATGGCACTGAGGTCTCCAAGGTCCGGTGGGGGGATGGAGGCAGCTGTGGCAGGGAGCAGGGGGTCAGAACCTAATCCTGAGGCCTGTGGACCCCCTTCCCCCTTAAGTCGTTCACGGGTCTAGGAGGGGTTGGCATCTGCAGCAGGGACCACAGCACAGCACTGAGTATTAGCCCATGGCTGCTTCTGTCTGAGGGCTCCATGCTTTGAGGGGGGTAGGGATGGGCAGGGGAGACTCTACTTTCCCCAAACTGGGACACTGCTGCCAAGCAAGAGGAATAGTCACTGGCAAGCTTCCTGCCTTTCCCTAGCTGCAGCTGGGCCTTCTGTCTCCAGGGACCCTACTCACTGTCATGCCTGATGCCTCCCTGCAGTCAGCTGGAGCAGGCACACACTTGACAGCAATTGCTTCTAGCCTTTCTCAGTGGCCATTTAGGCCATAGTAAAATGTGTCTGGCTCAGATTTTACTTTCTGTCCACAAACGAACCAAGCCACGGGCAAAATAAACCGTCCCCACATTTCCTTCAGCCACATGTGCTGGGAACAGGGGCAGGTGATGTGGAAATGGTTTTTCCTGGGGCTGTGGTTTACTTCAGGCTTCACAGTAAAGGTGAAGACTGGGATTTTTATCTCCACCGAGGTGCGGTTCCTCTCTGCTTTGGATTGACATGTGCCTCATGCTGCCGTAGAGATCAGCAGGTGCTACTAAAGGGTCTGTGGACTGGAGAATGGGAAGGGGGCCAAGATGGAGGACCAGTGCTCTCCACAAGAGGTTCTCTTGGCCTGATACTTCAGCCACCACCCATTAGAAAGAACAGTGGGAGCCAGCCAATGCCCCTGTGCTGCTTGCTTGCTTCCCTCCCTCCCCACCCCCGGGCAGGTGTGCTAGTTTGCCTTACATTCCATTTCCAGCCTTTCCCCCTGGAGAAGACAAGCAATGGACAAGTGTGCTCAGCCCTTGCCTTCTGCACTCTCTCCTTGATCTGTGCCAGCAGTAGATGTCTGAGGCTGCTACTGACTTGGATCACATCCTGGACCAAAACTTCAAAGCACAACCCCTGCCCTCTTTCTGGTTTGAACTAAGAGCTGGTGGAACCAAATAGCAGGGGCAACTATAACTGGAAATCTCTGTGCAGGGAGGGCAGAAAGGATGGTGCTGTGTTATCCTGGGTTTAAGGCACTTGAGTATTTGAGAATGGCGGTGAAGCAGCCCCTTTTTCAGCTCAGTCCACTGGGGAGCCCCCTCCACCTCACAAACTAGTTATGCCACCCTGTTTGGCTTGGCCTAATGGGGCCTACATTCCCTGGTGCCTTTCTCTTACCCAAGAACTCCATGCAGCTTAATGGGTCTGTGGAATAACATGGACCACTGCTCCATTCCTGAGAAGGCTGTATATGGTGTGGCCAGTGAGGTGGTCTCAGCTAGGCCCAAGGGTCTTTTTTTATTTTATTTTTTTTTCTAATGGATTGAGTTGCTACCAGGCTTCTTAAAAGCAAGTACTGAGCCCCAGTGAGGTGCCATTAGCTCCCCAAACCTTCCAGATAGGTCACCCCTCCCTGATGGGGTAGGGGGGTGGGGGCAGAGGACCACCACATGTTTACAAGTGCACTGTGCCAGACTTTAACTCTCCTGGCACCTTGACCAATGGGACCATTTACACCTTGATGGGAGAAACTGGATATTAGATAGAGCTGGCCAGATCTCTGGAAGGATGCAGACTGCCATAGATGACCAGTTGCCCCCCCACAGTGGTGCTCATGCCCAAGGTGAGGGGAAGGAGTCTAGGAGCCAGGAGCCACCTGGCTAAGTGTTGTATGGAGATTAGGGGTCTTTCTGCCTTTTATTATTGTAATTATTATTTTTGGGGGTTTTCCTTGCAAGCCATTCTGAAAATGGGGACAGCCAACTTCTGGCAGGCAAAAGAATTTCACATCCTCCCTTCTCTTGAGTTCTTGCTGTTTCCCTTCTCTCAAAAGCACAATGGAAACAAAACTGGCAAAAAAACAAAAACCTGAATTGAAGATGAGTTGTGTCTTTTATACCGTGGGGGCCTAGGGGTGGGGTGCTGTAGTGTGTGCAGAAACCTCTGGCTTGGATTCCTTACATGCTGCTGTAGTAAGAGCGCCAATCTGGGAAGAGGGTCTCTGGAGCCCCGGGGATCCATTGGCTGAAGAGTGACAAGTCAGTCGCATCCCAAAAGGGGAAGATGCAGCCGGGAGTGAGAATGAGCCAGCAGGAGGTGGGGTGGGGTGGGGAAATGAGAACCTCTGATTTCTTTTTTATTTTATTTTTTTTAAACCAGCTTTCCTAGCAGGCTAAGGACTTGCAGGGGCATTGGGAGGGGATGCAATCAACTGGGATGTGGTTCTTGAGGGCAGGTCCCACGTAGCTGAGATGGGCTCTGGGGAACTGGAATCCCTGTTGGTGCTAAAACACATGAGCACAGGAGCTGAAGAAGGGGAGAGGTGAATATCCTTTACTGCTAATGCTGTTCTTAAAGCTAGTTATTGCGGGGAGGAGGAATAACAATGTGAATAAACTTTTTTTAATGGACCAAATAAACCAAGGAAATTGAGTTTTGGTATAAAACTTTTTTTAATGCTACCATGAGTCTGTTGTCATTCTCTCCCCTTTCATCCATTTGCCCCTTCTCTCCTGCCATGGGAAACAAACCTCTTTACTGCTTGATTTCTGCCTTCTCTCTGACTTATGCACTTTTTTGCCTTTTTTCATAGCTGAAAAGCACCTAAACCTGTATTTAAAATAAATAGAGAAAATGTTTAAAAAAAAATAAAAAAAAAATTACAAGCTAAATTGCATCAGATGTATAACCATTTCATCAGTGTGTAAAATAAATCTTGTACATCTTAGCTTTCCATGTCGCATTTCAGTGCCGGGCTTGATCAGTTTGTTGTTTGTTTCTGTTTTTTTTTTTTTTCTTTCTTTTTGATTGGGTTCCTGTCTTTGTGTATTTCTTCCCATGGGCTCAAGTGCCCAGAAATGAAACTTATTTGGCCTTTTTAACTGAACCATTGAGCGGAACAAACCGACAACTTCTCTTCCTGGTTTACTCAAATTAAAAATAAAAGTATAATTTTTACCTGCTGACTGACCTAGTCTTAATTGTGTTTAACTTTCTCTCTCCTTCAGCTGGAGGAAGGGCTAGCAAGGGCTGTGGCTGTGATCAGCATTTGAGTATAGCTTAGGACCTTGGTTCCCAAGGTGTTGATACAGCTCATTCCAGCAGCTATCTGCTTGGCCATGCCATGAACGAGAATGTTCTTGCAACACCTGAGCTCTGCCACAGGCTTCCTTTCTGATCTTGCACAGGTCATTTCACTAAAGAAAATGCAGCATCTCTAACTGGGTCCAAGTGGTGGAGGCAGAGGGCAGGTTGTTTCTTCCTTGGATCTCTCCTGCCTCAAAATAAGTGCCTGCCACTCCTGTCGGCAACACCTCCAATGTATTCATCAATGTCTGTGCCTCCATTAGCTGTAAAATGCCTTCTCTTGCCCATAGGTGTGGACAGAAATGTATTCAGTCGTGGCTGCTTAATATTATTAGAGAGGTGCACCTCCACTGGACTGGATGCTCTGGAAGCAAAGGAACAATGTTGGCTTTATATACTGCCTGCAACACAGGAGAAACAAACAATGACAAAGCATCTCTACTTTCCTAGGCCTGGCTGCAATCCATGAACTGTGGCACACGTGTATTACAGCATAGTAGAGCATTGTAATTAAGGGTAATTACTGTGTTGCCTGCTTGTAAGGAAGCTAATTTTTCTAGTAGCTCTTTATTTTCCCCATGATTCCCAGTATAACCAAATATGCAAATAGGGTATGACACCAGCGCTGTTGGTGGCCTTCTATCAAATCCATTTTAAGGATGAGTGGAGATTTGGGCATTCCATCTCTGCAAGAAAGCAAGGCTAAGGGTCAAGTACCTCTTCCTTACCACGAGAATTTATTTACTCTTTTTCTGGTATCTTCTGCTACAAGCTAAGGAACTAGAAATTGTCTGGATTAGCATCTGTTCCTATTCTGTGTTTATGAATGAACTGGAACTTCAGGAAGGCCTTCGATACGGTATCCCACCCCATACTGGTGAACAAGTTAAGAGGCTGTGACTTGGATGACTACACAGTCCGGTGGGTGGCGAATTGGCTAGAGGGTCGCACCCAGAGAGTTGTGGTGGATGGGTCGGTTTCGACCTGGAAGGGTGTGGGCAGTGGGGTCCCGCAGGGCTCGGTCCTTGGATCGATACTCTTTAATGTCTTCATCAGCAACTTGGACGAGGGAGTGAAATGTACGCTGTCCAAGTTTGCAGATGACACAAAGCTATGGGGAGAAGCGGACACGCCGGAGGGCAGGGAACAGCTGCAAGCAGACCTGGACAGGTTGGACAAGTGGGCAGAAAACAACAGAATGCAATTCAACAAGGAGAAGTGCAAAGTGCTGCACCTAGGGAGGAAAAATGTCCAGCACACCTACAGCCTAGGGAATGACCTGCTGGGTGGTACGGAAGTGGAAAGGGATCTTGGAGTCCTAGTGGACTCCAAGATGAACATGAGTCGGCAGTGTGACGAAGCCATCAGAAAAGCCAATGGGACTTTATCGTGCATCAGCAGATGCATGATGAATAGATCCAATGAGGTGATACTTCCCCTCTATCGGGCGCTGGTCAGACCACAGTTGGAGTACTGCGTGCAATTCTGGGTGCCGCACTTCAAGAGGGATGCGGATAACCTGGAGAGAGTCCAGAGAAGGGCCACTCGTATGGTTAAGGGCCTGCAGACCAAGCCCTACGAGGAGAGACTAAAGAACCTGGACCTTTTCAGCCTCCGCAAGAGAAGGTTGAGAGGC